AGGAAGTGTCTGGAGAGAGGGAGGTCTGGGCATCTTTGCTTAGACTGCTGCCCCCGCGACCCGGTCCCAGATAAGCGGAGGAAAATGGATGGATATTGTTATTTAGATGCAGTAGCTGCTGTTGGCTCTTTTGGTGAGAGAGACAGCTGAGATGCTGATTGGGAGACAGAAAATTTGTGTGAATAACTTGGCTAATGTGAGCCCTCACCCAGTTCCCCTGTACTGCTGATTTGAAAAAGTGGCAGTAAGGGCCTTTTGTGTGTATGTGTGGTTTTAATATAGAGAAACACTCTTAGGAACAAATATTGGCACTATAGTCACTATAAACAGGGATAAACTACAGTAGTTTGGGGCCAGTTAACTCCATATGTCTTGCCATGATAAGCTCTCATTTCCCTCTGCCCAGTGAGTAGAATACTCTCTGTCAGTTCACTGGTCCATTCACAGAGGACACTGGTTATATCAACTGAAGGGTATATGTTCTGTCCATTAGTGTACAGAAGCCACTTTGATGAGTTTCTTAGAATCCCAAGTGTTGTTATTCGAACCATGATATGATTATGCCATCTGTTGGTGTGAAATAAAAACTGGGTGAATGAAGAGCCAGGTGTTTGTCATGTGTGTAAATAAAAATGATGTGTCTAGGGAAAATTGACTTTGTCTCTATCATCATGGCTTCGTGACATTTATTATAAACCACATCATCTGGGTTCATTAAATGGTGTTGGCCCATTAAAACATGCTGCTGAAGATCAGATGGATACTAAATTAAAAACAGAAGATGTGAAACATTCGATGAACATGATGCATACACATTACACAAACTGGCATGATATTATTTTGAAAAGAACAGAGTCTTTGTCATCAGGCCTGTGTGTCAGGTTCAAATTGATTCATGTAATATGCAAACAGAATGAGTCAGTGAAGGTCTGGACTTACATCATCTCCCTTTGGGCCCAGTTTGTGTGTGTATGGCTGCTCTCAGCAAAACAGGATGAGAGTCCAGCAGCTGCCTCACTTTGGGTTACACTGGGAGAGCTATCAGTGAATAACTGTGGCTCCATCAGCTGTGACAATGGACGTGTAGGAGCTGGTAGCTGAATGTCAGCTGTGACTGTTTATAACCACATTACATTCTGTTGTCACTCTGATGAACACTTAACCCATGATAGTATGATTAGACAATAACACTCAGTGCAATACCTGTGTATATATACATTGTACAGATTATACAGAGTCAAACTAACTGAGGGAAGTGAGGAGAATATATAGGCTGAGAATGAGAGACAATAAGCAACAGGTGAAGACAATGAGACTTAATCAAAGGCCAGGTAAAGCAGAGGCAGGTGGATGATGTGGACAGGAAAATGCTTTCAAAATAAAAGTACAGAAGATGAAGTAGTCCCAGATGACAAAAGCAGACATGTTTGTAGGTCCTTTTGGCTTTATTGTTTTCAGAGCACTGACATACAGTTCTAACATAAACCCTATCACTGTCTGATGTAACTGTTGGAAATAAGCTCTTATAGCCGTTTACATATGATGGCTCTCTCCTCATCTAGCTGTGGATTGTCTCCTGAAGAGCTGGCCAGCTCTTCCTTTATACTTGAGGTTTCTTGGGATTCAAGAATTGAGTGTTTATTGTCATATGCACAGTATGGAAACGTGTTTCCCTGCACAATGAAATTCTTACTTTGCCATCCACACTGAATGCCAATCAACAAAAGTGATATATAAAATGGCCTATGACAGGTTTGTTGCTATTTGCCAGCCTTTACACTATCACAGTAAAATGACATTTAGGACGGTGCTGCTTCTTTTGGTTCTTGCTGTGATGCACCCTGTCTGTATTTTAGGCTACTTTTTCTATCAGCTCAGCAATTTGCCTTTGTGTGAAAATCAGCTGCCCAGAATTCTTTGTACCACCTGGGTTATAACTGAGCTCTCCTGTGTGAACACAACTGTAAAAAACATAGCAATTCAGATTTTTTCTGTGATATCGGTCTTCATCCCCCTGTCCTTTGTCCTGTACACCTACCTGCGCATTCTGCTTGTCTGCAGGAGAAGTTCATCTGAATTCAGGGGAAAGGCCTTACAGACCTGCCTGCCCCACATAGTGACATTTGGAAACTACTGCATTTCTCTGTTCTGTGATTTTTCACTGGGTTGGTATAAGACTGATGAAGTAAAAACATTTTCTATTGTTTTATCTCTAGAGTTTCTGATCATTCCTCCCATCATTAACCCTCTAGTTTACGGCCTGAATCTGCCTCAGATCAGAGGAGTGATTTTTTGGATTTTTAAGGGCAGAAAAAATGATTCATCTAGTGTTATTCAAAACCCAACAAGCAAAGGAGTTATGATCTGTTAATTTTGTTCTTCACATTATGTGCTTTTGGGATATTGTAGTTTGTTTGTACAAATATTCTGTTTGTTATATTCATTATAAACAATTCAGAATCCATGTGAAGAAAATAGATGCAGCCCCAAAATAAACCAAACTGCAACCTATTAATTATTAATAATGTTTTAGTGTTTTATATACATGGTCCAACTCACATCAGACTAAAACATATCTCAAATACTCACAACTGAATTTTAATTGATGCTTATTTCTTCTGGATATGATCTCCTCTGTTTCCTTGTGTCACCATGTCATGGGCTCTATGTAAGAACATATTTTAAAAACGTTCATGAGAAATAAATCTGACAATATGCTGCTTTTCTGGCTGATTAACAACAATAGAAACTGGGCATTAATTATACATTTTATTAGCATATCATAATTTCACTTATTTTAGATCATTTTGTGTTTACATTTTAACAGGCTGCAGTTTAAATCCAACAGCAGGTGCCTTTAAATTTGGCCTTGACAAACTGCAGGATTATTCAAAATCAGATGATCCCTTTGAAAAGCACTTAGTCAATATGTACTGGTGTTTTGGTCATTTTGTTTTGTTTGTTTGTTTGTTAGCCCATACATTTGACCCAAGACAGGACCTCTGCACTCAGTAACCATACATTAAATATATATCACAAGCATAAATTTATGTTAGACCCACAAAGCCAGTTAGCGGTAGATCCTTTGAGCTGTGAATAGCAACATATTCTTTAGCAAATTAATGCTGAGGCCATATTTATTCATTAGTCAGCACCAGGATAAACAAACTAGTGAAGTGAGACCTGCAAACAGAGTCATATTAGAATGGAAACTCATCAGAGGTCAAATCAGTGTTGAAAAAAGTGGATCAAATTCTATTGGGTCATGTGATGTGGTATTGGACGTCAGTATTCTGGTACCAAATGACTTCAGTCAAGAAAAGAATTCTTCCAGCAATCTTTCAAATCACTTCCTGCTATATTCAGAATAATACCCAGATCAATACTTTCTCAACCAGAGTCATCCAATATTTTTCTTCCCAGACATCTTGATATATGAGAGGTCAGTTTAAAAAAAAAAAAGTAAAGTCCTTATTTATGAAGTTGTTTCTTTCACCATGTGCTTAAACTGATAACCGTCTTGTAGCCATACTGGGAAGATTTTAAAAACATGACCTCTGTTTATTTGTATTATATACAATTGTATACATGTCTAAATTTGTATATTGTTGTATATGATTAGGGAACTGCAACATTAATAAATGTTCTGGGTAAATTAGCAGTAATTAGTTAGAGTGCATGTACCCTGTCATACAAGAGGATGCCAGTTGATAAAGCCAGGGATTTGATTTGTGATGGTGAAATCAATTTTGAGTTGTTCGTACAAACTGAACAAACTGGACCTTGGAATTCTAAGATTTTTTTATTAAAAGTTTCAATTTCATATCATGATGGATATGTTAGACCTGCAGTAAAACATATTTTGCAAGCTCATTCACTATTTGTTTTTATTTTCTTTTTTGCCCATTATAACAAGATATCGTAGTTGGCTTCTTGGTCCCAGGACAATCGGTAAACCAATTCAGGGGTAATTTCAGACATAAACAAAGATAATCCAATGTTTTCCACTTGGGAAAGAGCCTTTTTGCGTTTGTTTTTCAGAAACATCAATATTTAAAATTAAATTTCATTATGTTCTCAGTTGTGTTGTTAAATTATTTGCATCAAAAAAGAAATTGAATGTGCTGGTGGTCACATTTTTCTCCTAAAATTTACAGTATTACTTCAAAATGCAAAGTAAAACATAAATGAAACAGAACATTTAGTAAGTTCTTACAGTTCTAAGCTATGTTTCCAATTGCCTTAACCTGGACACCTGAACTTTCTGACACCATGTTTAAAACTTCTAGGTCTTACCCCATTTCTCTTTGGTTAGAAGTACTAAGTACTGCAGCTGAGTTGTTTAGTTAATAACACTGTGAGAAGATGTTGCTTACAGAACACAGCACAGTACTGGTTTATGTTGTACAGCCTACACAACTGTTTTTGTGTTTGCAAATATGTCAGCAACTGCAGCAGCACTAAGAGTAGAAGTAGCAATAACAAATAGTTATAATAACTTTCAGATGTGATTAATAGAATAAAATAGGATATAATAGAAAGGCTTTATTGTCATTTTCTGAAACATTAGAGGGGCATCAGACCCTGAAGGTTTCTTAGAGGTCAGTGACAGGGTTTCTCTCCCAGTCCCATGTATCAGTGTACACTCGCCACTCAAGGGCAAAGCACACTACACCCTCCTGTGGACTGAATTATTCTGCACTGTAGGATTTTATCATACTGTTTACATCAAGTCCGTTGTTCTTGTGGAAGAACATGGAACAAGAAGACAGAAGACACCTAACAAAAACTCTAAGGGCCATTATTTAACACAGCATTTCATGTTTTAAAAACAAGTTTGAGCATAGTTTTCATGTGTAGAAAGAATACACTGCTATAAGCAAGACAAACTGGGTGAAACAAGATGGGCAGCAGTACAGTTAACAGTCAGATGTTAGGGTGCAACTTTGCAGCATGATGCAAAAGGACTGAAGGTGTCTCTATGATGCAGATCCACAAATGATGTCTCCTGCCACTCTGACAGACCTCCCTGCTGCTCTCCAATGCACTCGTATACTCTGTGGGCTGAACCATAGCTCAGTTAGCAACGGTATCACAGCGGTATCACACAGGAGCATGCAGACATTTTAGAGGAGTAGTAAAAGAAAAGTGGAACCTCAGACCTGCACAAACATTACTTCATACCATCCTAACAATAACATAAACTTTAGTCTATTAAACAGTATTTTATTGATGGTTCTTACTGAGGCAAAACAAAACCCTCGACCACATTTGGGCAATAATAGTGCCACAACTACTTATTTTTAGTAAAATTATTCAACAATTACTTACCTATAGCTAGCAGCAGCTCACTGACTTGATCCCCTGACAGGGCTGATGTCTCGGAGCCATATGATGGTGGATCCTGGGATGTACTGTTTCTCAAGCTCTTTGAGCCACACTTGAGCCCTTATAAATGTTTCCTTTAGTGACACAACCATACACAAGTATACAATGGTACATCCTCCAGCCAAAACAAGACAAAGATACCGCAAGCCAGTAAGTTTCCATGTCTGGGTGTCTTACCCTTTTGCTGATATCATAGACCAAGAGAGCAGCGTGGGCTCCTCTGTAGTAAAGTGGAGTGATACTGTGGTATTTTTCTTGCCCTGCTGTGTCCCATATCTCTAAACGAAGAGTGACATTGCTCAGATGTACCATCCTGGTCAAGTAAGCACCTACAGGGGTGGAGAGTGAAATGACACTGGTGGGGATTAATTTGTTCTTCAGTGGGTCTTTAGACATGGTCCTGACTGGATTATATGGGGTGGCTGTGGCTTACGAGGTAGGGCAGTTGTCTTCTGACCAGCAAGTTGGTTGTTCGACTCCTGGTCTCCCCGCATGCCTAAGTGTCCCTGAGCAAGACACTGAACCCCAAATTGCTCCTGGTGGTTTGACTGGCGCCAGTGTGTGGCAGCCTCTCGTCATCAGTGTGTGAATGAATGGTGTATGATCTCCTCTAAAGCACTTTGGCCAGTGTAACACACTGTGCTATATAAATACAGTCCATTTATATTGGTGATATTTATGACTTTTTAGTAGCAGTTGATCAGAAGACCTATATGAAATTACAAAAAAGTGTTTGTTGCCATGTTCATGACCATGATCTGCCTCCTTGTATTATTTAGCTGCTGTGTACGATAAGCACAGCATTTTCAGCTGTTTTCATGAACACTGTGTTGCTTCTTCCTGACTCGATTAGCTCTCTAAATGTAAATGTCTCTGATTTCACTGACTATGCAACTGGTGTTGAAAGTTTTTTACTTAAGCCACTTTCTATTTGTGAGGTACATGATATAAGGAAACCAGCTGGTCCAGACAAGTTTGGGCCATATTTTCTAAAGGTTGCTGCAGATCTTATTGCTTTGCCTCTCACATACATTTTCATCCTTGCCCTGCTTAAGAATAAGATTCCTATGATGTGGAAATTATCCTCTGTAACATACAGTATGTTTCCATGTTTAGTGTACAAATGACAAGTTTAGCTTTTTAGTTGATTAGATACTCAAGCTATTAAATCCCTGTAAAACCAAAACTTGTAATTTTTACACTTTGATTTTATAAGTGTTAGACAAGTGTATAAGATATTAACTGTTAAGAGTGGATAGTTTATTTACCTTTGGACAAACCCCTGCCAGCTGCAGAGATAAAAGGCCAAATCTCAAAAAATGGCCTGGACAGAATTATTGACACCTTTTAAAAATCATCAGAAACTCACCTGTAGCAACCAACAGGTGCTGGCAATATAAAGATCACACTTTGACTTAACCGTTGTGTGGTGTGGACCACACTGAGCATGGATAAAAGAAAGAAGAGCAAAGAATTGTCTGAGGATTTGAGAACCTCAATAGTGGAAAAGCCTGGACACTCTCAAGGCTCCAAGTCCATCTCCAGAGATCTGGCTGTTCCTGTGTCCACTGTGCACAACAATGTCAAGTTTACAGCCCATGGCACTGTAGCTAATCTCCCTGGACGTGGATGAAAGAGAAAAATAGACAACAGATTGCAACAAAGGATTGTTCGAATGGTGGATAAAGAGCCTCGATCAAATTCCAAACAGAAGCAAGCTGACCTGCAGGCACAGGGTGCAACAGTGTCAGCTCACATTGCCCATCTGAATGACAAGGAACGCTTTGGTAGGAGACCCAGGGGACCCACTGCTGACACAGAGACATAAAACTGCCAGACTGGAGTTTGTCAAAACCTACCTGAGGAAGCTACAGTCCTTCTGGGAGAATGTCCTGTGGACAGATGTGATTAAAATAGAGCTTTTTGGTCGAGCACATCATTCTACTGTTTTCAGAAAATGAAATGAGGTCTTAAAAGAAAAGAACACGTCCCTACAGTCAAACATGGTGGAGGTTCACTGATGTTTTGGGGTTGCTCTGCTGCTTCAGCCTCTGGATGTCTTGACTGTGTGTGTGGCTTTATGAAATCTGAAGACTACCAGTGAATTCTGGGGCACAACATAGGGCCCAGTGTCAGAAAGCTGGGTCTCCATCAGAGGTCATGGGTCTTACAACAGGACAATGACCCAAAGCAGACTTCAACAAGCACCAGAAATGGTTTCAGACAATGAGCCGGAGAGTTGTGAAGTGGCCAGCAATGAGTCCAGGTCTAAATCCCAGAGAGCTCCTGTGGAGAGATGTCAGAACATCAGCTGGGAGAAGGCAGCCTTCATCTCAGAGAGCTGGAGCAGCTGGCAGAAGAAGAGTGGTCCACAATTACACTAGAGAGTTGGAAGAAACTCACTGAAGTGACTGATTTCAGTTATTTTGTCCAAAGGGTGGGCTGCCAAATATTAAGTTGAGGATGTCA